TTTACATTATGTAACTTAATTTTTAAGCTTATGAATAAATGTAAACATTCATTTGACCTACAGCTTAATCTGAGTAGGAAATTTCTGATTTTAATTCTTGCTCTTCAAATCATATCAGAGATCTATATAAGAAACAGAGTAACAGACTCATGACAGCATCCTTGCTGTTCAAGAAGGCAAATTCCTCATACTGACAAATGTGCACAAATGCCTATGTGCACAGAATTTTTACCTAAATTTAGTAAATAAATGTATTAAAGTTATTATAAAGATAAATATTCTTGCTTCACCCATTTCAGAACAAAAAGCTCCATTTAAAGATACTGGACTCAAGAAAAAAATAACATCCAGAAATTTGATGGAAAACCGTCCTCAGTCTATCAGAATAGTGATTCAACTATCCAAAATGTTTTCTCTCTCCGTGTGAAAACAAATATGCAACTGAAATGTAAATATAAATAAATATGCTTTAGGGCATGAGTGTGTGTATACACACATATTTAAAAGAAGGATACAAGTTCTGTAATATCTTATGATTCAACATTTCTTTCTGATGTGTTCCACATATACAAATACCTTAGAAATCACTAAATTCTTTTTCCCTCTTTTCACTTTGAACTAAAGCACACATACAGGGACTGAATTTTCTAAAGGTATTATTTCACATGTAAATAGTGCCATCTTGTGGCAGTTGCAGCTATTTGCATTCTGGCATAAAACTGATTATGGATTGTAACTGCCATGGTTCCTGGGGTTTGAAGATCCCCTGGAGAAAGGATAGGCTACCCACTCCAGTATTTTGGGGCTTCCCTTGTGGCTCAGCTGGTAAAGAATCCACCTGCAATGAAGATCTCCTGGAGAAGGAAAAGGCTACCCACGCCAGTATCTGGCCTGGAGAATTCCATGGACTGTACAGTCGACGGGGCTGCAGAGTCTAACACTAACACACTGACACCTATAAGGCTCCTGAAAGTTCACAGGATTTCCTCAGTGGCTCAAGGCTAAAGAACCCATTGCCAACGCAGGAGACGTGGGTTCGGCCCCTGGGTGGGGAAGATCCCCTGGTGAAGCACATGGCAACCCACTCTAGTATTCTTGCCTGGGATATCCCAGGGACAGAGGAGCGTGGAGGACTACAGTCCATGGGGCTGCAAGAGTTGGACACAACTTAGCAACGACTCAGCAACCTACGGTTACTGAACATGCTCAGCCTAAAATCAGTTAATATTTTAAAAACAAGCATCTTCCAGAGTATCCTCAAACAGAAATACTTTTAAAAGAACTAAATCAGAAACCCTAGATTCTATTACTAAATTTTCTACTAACTAGATACTGGGTTAATAGACAGGAAGCCTGGCATGCTGCAAACCCCAAACTCCATGGGGTTGCAAAGAGTCAGACACGACTCTGCAGACACGACTCAGTTATGAGCAACTGAACAACAACAATAAACCAGATACTGAATAAACTATATAATCACTCTGGACCTCATTTTCTTCATGTCTAAGACTGTCCAGCTAAGTTATTGTCACTCTCTAAATTTCCATATGATTCTAGCTTTATAAATTTGCATGAGTATTTCTGATTTTAGCATCCTAATATGGAATACAGGCCTGTTTATGACATATGTTTTCATATTTATCTCTTTTATTAATTCTAGGTTGCTTGGTTATGCAGTCTGCTTGAATTTTCTTCAGAAATAAATCCTAATTTATACTTCTCCCTGTCCAAAAAACGTTCAAAACACATTAGAAAGATGTCACCAAATTGTGAATAAAAGTCAATTCAAGTAACTGAAAACAAGTTTTAAAAAACTTTTTGTAAGGATAAGAGTGCATGCTTTAGATAAGATGGGGTCAACATCAAACCAACTTCAAACCAAGCACCCAAAAGTTAATGGGAAAGGAGTTCCACCAAAGCTTCTAGAATCACGTGTTACAGTGATAAACAAGAAACAGAACAGGCTCAGAGTTAAGCAGCTTTGACCAACACGAGCATATACTGCATGCTTGCCACTTTGGATTCTGTACTACCATTTCATTCTTCCTCCACATCAGTCATCAAAACTCAATTCTTTTTTCAAAACATCTTGCTCTGATGTACATCTTCTTATTTAAGCTCTGGCATCCACTTTGTCCAAGAATTCAAGCTCCTGGGCCGGCATTACTACAATCACCATCACAGTTTACTGCTTTTCAAAGAGTGATTTAAGAACTTGCATCAGAATCATTTGGGATTCTGATTAAAACAAGTTATCTCTTAGATTCCATAGAAAAAGACCAGCACTATCCAGTAGAAACAGAACACAAGTTACATACTTAATTGTAAAATGTTCTGGTAGATTAAAAAACTAAAAAGAAAAAAAGTAAAATTATTTTAATATTTTATTTAATTCAATGCACATATAGTATCATTGCAATAAGTAATCAATTAAAGACATATCAATATACTTTACTATCAACATACTTTACAGGGCTTCCCTGGTGGCTCAGAAGGTAAATAGCCAGCCAGCCTACAATGCGGGACACCCAGATAGGATCCCTTGGTTGGGAAGATCCCGTAGAGAAAGAAATGGCAACACACTCCAGTATTCTTGCCTGGAATATCCCATGAACAGAGGACTCTGGTGGGCTACAGTCCATGAGCCCCAAAGAGCTGGACACGACTGAGCACCTAATATATATATATTTATGTACATATATATATATATATGAGCTGTATATGAGTGTATATATATATATACACACACATACACACATTTGTTTTTCATACTAAGACTTCAAAATCTGGTACTTTATTCTTGTAGCATATCTCTATTCAAGCCAGCATATTTCAAGTTCTTAAGTCACAAGAACTTAAGTTCTTAAGAACACAAAGAAAGTAAGTACTAACAAATACTTCCTTTACATGGAAACCTCATATATTTCACCAGCCTTCTAGAATTCCCAAATTATATTGATACTAATGATTATTTGCATCTTCAAAAAATTCACAAACTATAGTATTATGAAATTGAAGGATATCTTTCCTGAAGTGCTAAGTAGTATTCTGATATATAACACTGTATATAGACTAGAGTTCTAAGATGGCCCCCCAAATTTGTGATCTCCAAGAAACATATCCTATATAATCCCTCCCCTTGAGTGTAGTCAGACATGTAGTTATGAGGCAAAATCATTTTGAAGATTAGGTTTAACAAAGAGGAAATCATCTGCCGGGGTCTGACTTAATCACATGAGTTGTTTAAAAAGGACCTCCTTGGAAAGAGAGACAGTGGAAGTGTGACAAGGGCTCAAGACTGGCCTCTGGCCAACAGCTAGCAAGCCAATGGGGACCTCAATTTAAGAACAAAGACATTAAATCTGCCAGGAACCAAGGACCTCAAACCTAGAGTTTAGATGAGATCCCTCTTGCAGTCAAGTGCCTTTACTTCAAACTTACAAGAATACATAGAGCACCCAGCCATGCCATGCCCAGACTCTTGATCTAAAGACTGAGATCATAAATGGTTTTTTTTTTTAAACCACTAATGTGTCGTAATTTGTTACACATCAATAGAAAACTAATACACTCAGGCACTTTCTCATATAATTAAATAACTACATCCGGGCAGGTTTCTCAGACTTCATTTTACAAATAATTTCTCCACCTGCTGTAAAAATACAATTGCTTCACAAGTGACATGACATTAGTAGTGCACAATCTGCTTAATTGGGTTTCCCTGGCGGCTCAGTGGTAAAGAATCCGCCTGCCAATGCCGGTTTGATTCAAGGGTGGGGAAAACACCCTGGAGGAGGAAGTGGCAACCCACTCCAGTATTTTTGCCTGGAGAATCCCATGGACAGAGGAGCCTGGCAGGCTGCAAGTCCATGGGGTCGCAATAGAGGCATACGTCACTTAGCGACTAAACAACATCTGCTTAATACTTCTCATAGAAAGATTAAAAGCCACTGGATTTGAGTCAAAATTCACTGAGAAGCTCTTCAGTGTTGACGAGCCTTTTTGGTGAGATGACTTTATTCCTGACCAGTTGCCTAGGGGTGGCGGGGTGCAGAGTAGAAGCTGGACTATCAGACGCACACTCGCTGTCCCCAGACTCGCCGAGCAGCGGGGTCGGGGGTAGACGCGAGCTGAGCCAGGACGAAGGGCAGAAAAAGGGATGCCGTTCGTCCCTTTAATCCCTAGCCCAGTTTCTCAGGAAAAACACTACGCCGGCACAGTAATACCTCTAAAACCCTGTCTGCGGCACGCAGCTGCTTTGAAAGAAAGTGAAAGTGTTAAGCACTCGGTCGGGTCCGACTCTTCGTGACCGCAGAGGCTGCAGCCTCCCTGGCTCCTCCTACCAAGAAATTCCCCGGGGAAGAATACTGACGTGCGTTATTGCCACTCCCTTCTCCAGGGAATCCTCCCAACCTACAGATCATGAATGGCAGGTCTCTGGCACTGCAGGCAGAGTCCTCACCGTCTCAGCCACTAGGGAAGCAAACTCCCAGAGAACCCAGCAAGTTCCGACCGCTGACTAAGCATCACTGGGGCCACTCAGCGTGGCGGACACTTCGTAACCCTTTCAAAAGATCTTTCAAACTCGGGAATTGTGCTCCTAGGTCGCTCTGTCCGCAGACCTAGAGAGCGGCCACCAAAACCTGGACCTACCGTCTTCCCCTCTAGTCGCCAGCTCGCCAGCCAGCCCACAACTACAGCGGGAACCCGGCCAGGTGTAACCACCAGCAACGGCGCCGCCACGCTTCCCCACTGCGCCGGCGCGAACCAAGGGGCAGAGAACCTGGCGGGCCCGGCTGCGCAGGGCGGGGTCCAGAGGCTCTTTGCGCCTGCGCAAAGGGCGCGATGGGCGGGGTCTAGAGGCGCTCCGCGCCTGCGCAAAGGGCGCGACGGCGTCCTGCGTCGTTCCTTTTTAAACGAGTGGCGGGGAACTGCTCCGGAAGCCCCTGGCGCCGCTGTCTGCTGGGTGGAATCACGTACCGTCATCCGTGGGCCTGGCAATGGCGCTGCAACTCTCCCGGGAGCAAGGCATCACCTTGCGCGGGAGCGCCGAGATCGTGGCCGAGTTCTTCTGTAAGTCCTCCTCGCGCGGGGCGGAGGGCGGGGAGAGCCGAGCGCAGGCCGCCCGCAGGCCCGCGGCTCGGCCGGAGCGGCCCTGAATCCCGGCCCTTGTAGCCGCGGCCTCGGGTGCCGGCAGGAGGGATCAGGAAGTGGGGCGGCGGGCACCGCCTCCCTCGCGTTGCTCCGGGCGGAGGAGGAAGCCCGGGTGCCGCGGAGGCCCGTCTTGCGGTGGGCCCGTCTTGCGGTGGGCCCCTTCGCGGGAGCGTTTCTTTCGAGTGCAGAGCTCCTCCCACACCCCCCGCCCCCGCAACGGTGAGGCCTCGGGGGTGGACCGAGACGGGCTAGACTTCGGGAAGCGCTGTTGTGAGCTCGGCCAGGTGTACCTGCTGACAGAACCTGGCAGGACCGGTGAGGAGAAAAAGAGGAAAGAGACATGGGGAGAGGCCTGTCTGGGCTTGGTACCCGTCTGTCAGTTGCCTATTTTGACACCCTCTAACCATAAAATAGGCATTTGGACTTGTTTTACAATGAAATGAAATTTGGCACTGGTAGATTAGTGGTTTGGCATTTTTCTTCTATTGCCACATAAATGCAGCTGTCACTTAAACGCAAAATTTTAAGGATTTTTTTAAAATGCCACTTTGTACCTACTCGGCTTTCAGCAAAACACAAACACGTGTTTAGACATTTATAACTTTACACTATCATGAAACCATAGCCCCATCTACATATGCTTTATTTCCCCAGAAGTTACAACGTGACGATGACTTTAATATTTCTTATGTTTTCAGCGTTTGGCATCAACAGTATTTTATATCAGCGTGGCATATATCCATCGGAAACCTTTACTCGGGTGCAGAAATATGGACTCACCTTGCTTGTAACTACTGATCCTGAGCTCATAAAATACCTAAATAATGTGGTGGATCAACTAAAAGGTATTTTATTGTTGGACACAGTTTTGAGTTTTGCGGGCCTTTATGTTAACAGGATCCTCGGGTCTTCCCAGGTGACTCTGGTAAAGAATCCACCCGCCAATGTAGGAGACACAGAAGACTCAGGTTCCATCCTGGGTCTGGAAGATCCCCTGGAGGAGGAAATGCCAACCCTCTCCAGTATTCTTCCCAGGATAACCCCATGGAAAGAGGGGCCTGTCGGGTTACAGTCCATTGGGTTCTAAAGAGTTGGATAGGAGCACACGTAGGATCCACGTTTTTTAGCTTCTTGGTGGTCATTTTTCAGCTCTGTATAGGGTAGTGTAAAACGCACTACCATCTCCGATACAGTGAACCAGTTGGGAGGGAAGCAAATAACATACAAATTGAAAGAATTCCCACCATTCCTCCACTTTTGAATAGGCTGACTATTTTAAGGTTCAGAATCTGATATGGCTTAACAAAACAATCTCCATCAACTCCTTCAGGGATGATAGAACACATTGGAATTTTATGTAATTATGATGGCATTCCTTATCTGAGAGAAATCCACTGCATATATTTTTTGCAGCTGCTTGGAATCTAAAGCCATCATTATATTAAGATGAAAGAACTAAAATCAGATTCAACCTAGGAAACTAAACTTTAAAAAGAAGGAACTACTAAATAACAGCACTCATTAGAATTTTCTTATTTTTCACCTGTTTCCATTTGTCTTTTTTTTTAAATCGTGCCTCTGAGTCAGTAAGCCTTTTCTATCTGCACACTCATTTTCTTCTTTTAGCTCAAGAAGTTGCAGTATTGTGGGATCAGTATGCTCCATATATTCCTTTTATTTCTAGAATTTCTAGTAGTTTCTCTTTCATATTTCTCTCCACTTAGGATTCTCGTTTCTAATTTCTCTGTGTTGTAAAATGTTTCTCCCTTTCTGCCCATTAGATCTTCCAAAATACTAGTTCTAAAAATACTACAGCCTGCATTTTTTTTTTAACTTTAAAATTCATGAATCATTTTTGTTGTTTCAACTAGCTTCATTTTCAGATTACATCATTGCGTTTTCATTAACTTCAGAGCTAAACCACCCATAGTCGTTCATACAGCTGCACTCAGATTGTTTGGTATGGAACCTCTCGGCATCTATGGATGTATGTCTTCATCTTAATCTGAAGAAGTAGCAAGCCAGCCTTGCCTAAGTTACTGGTTTTTGGTTCGTGTCCTTTGAGACCAATAACATTTCTTTCTTGTTAGATGTATCTACACTTTCCTACTTAACTTCTCCCTTTGAGTTAAAATGGAGGAAATGCTTTACAGGCAAATTATTCAGTCTTTTAAATTCCACTTCTCTAGCCTTAGGAATTTGACCCTATTTCCTCTCTCTTATGTTGTCAGTTTCTTTGTTTTTGTTTGGATTATTCCCATTGGTTTCATTTCCATTTTTAAGGGAGGAAAGAAAAGTCACCAGCTTCCCCATATCTTCAAATCACCACTAAATCTCTTTTTCACAGGTAAACTGGTGAAAGTTGTTCCTACATGCCAGGGGCGAGCGAGGCCAACAGGCCAAGCCCAGCAAGTAGCTTATTTTTGTGCTGCTCGCAAGCCAAGAATATTACACATTGTAAAGAAGACTTAAATGCTTAGGCGACCCATAAGCCCTCAATATTTCTAAAATATTTTCTATCTCTTTAAAAAAATCCTGCCGATTGCTGAATAAAGTATTCTCAATTCCTAAGATTACTTGAGGGCTCAATTTGAGGCCCTCTTACATGTAGATAATTTTAGTAACAACTTGTGTATCTGACTCTTGAACCAATATTTAACCAAAGCCTCTCCTAACTCTCAGCTCATATATTGAGTGACTCCCTTAATGTCTTTATGCAGCTATATAATATACCACTTCACACTCAGTATATTAAAAACTGAATTTAGGATCATCTCCATTTCAGTTCTCTTTCCTCTTAGTGACTGGATCAACCATCTGACTACTGATATAAATCAGAAACCTGGGAGCTATCCCTGATTCATTCCTCTTCCTTACCCTAAGGTAATCCAATAAATCTTAACAATTTTAACCATGAAATCTCTTGAATCTGTCTACTGCTCCATCTCTACCAGTATATCTTTCTCTAAGTCTTTATTAGCTCTTGCTTGAATATTCATTAATTAGCGCCCTAGATCCCCTGTTTACTTCCAGCTTACTTTCTACATCGTATCCAGAAGGATAGTTTTCAAATACAACTTTAATTACATCATACTCTGCTTCAAACACAGTAATGACCTTCTTAGTTCTTACAGTATTACGTCTTTAATTCGGCTCCCATGACTCCATGTGGTCTGGCCCATTTATCTTGTCAGACTAGCCTTGTTCATTCTCCCTTTCTTTTTTTTTTTTTTTATTTTTTATTTTTATTTTTTCATTTATTTTTATTAGTTGGAGGCTAATTACTTTACATCATTGCAGTGGTTTTTGTCATACATTGAAATGAATTAGCCATGGATTTACATGTATTCCCCATCCCGGTCCCCCCTCCCACCTCCCTCTCCACCCGATCCCTCTGGGTCTTCCCAGTGCACCAGGCCCGAGCACTTGTCTCATGCACCCAACCTGGGCTGGTGATCTGTTTCACCCTAGATAATATACATGTTTCGATGCTGTCCTCTTGAAACATCCCACCCTCGCCTTCTCCCAGAGTCCACAAGTCTGTTCTATACATCGGAGTCTCTTTTTCTGTTTTGCATATAGGGTTATTGTTACCATCTTTCTAAATTCCATATATATGTGTTAGTATACTGTAATGATCTTTATCTTTCTGGCTTACTTCGCTCTGTATAATGGGCTCCAGTTTCATCCATCTCATTAGAACTGATTCAAATGAATTCTTTTTAATGGCTGAGTAATATTCCATGGTGTATATGTACCACAGCTTCCTCATCCATTCGTCTGCTGATGGGCATCTAGGTTGCTTCCATGTCCTGGCTATTATAAACAGTGCTGCGATGAACATTGGGGTGCACGTGTCTCTTTCAGATCTGGTTTCCTCGGTGTGTATGCCCAGAAGTGGGATTGCTGGGTCATATGGCAGTTCTATTTCCAGCTTTTTAAGAAATCTCCACACTGTTTTCCATAGTGGCTGTACTAATTTGCATTCCCACCAACAATGTAAGAGGGTTCCCTTTTCTCCACACCCTCTCCAGCATTTATTGCTTGTAGACTTTTGGATAGCAGCCATCCTGACTGGCGTGTAATGGTACCTCATTGTGATTTTGATTTGCATTTCTCTGATAATGAGTGATGTTGAGCATCTTTTCATGTGTTTGTTAGCCATCTGTATGTCTTCCTTGGAGAAATGTCTGTTCAGTTCTTTGGCCCATTTTTTGATTGGGTCATTTATTTTTCTGGCATTCTCCCTTTCTTAAACTGTAGCTATATTGGCCTCCTTTCAGTCCTCTGATCCAGTGCTCTGTTCTGAGTCTTTAAGACCTATACCTTTAGCAAGGAAGATCCCACATGCCACAGCTAAGACCTGACACAGCCAAAAATAAATTACTTCATATTTTAAAACCTATACCCTCTTCCATGTTTTGCATATGTATACTGTTGTCTCTTAGAACAAAACTCAAACCCCCGAGTCAGAATTCCCTATTCTGTGCTTTAATTGTGCTCTGTGTTGCCCCATGATGGGTAACTGCTATTATATCATAGGAAGCTGCACCATCATGGCAGTTACAACAATTATAATTTCACACTTATTGTTGTGATTAGATTAGTGACATCTCCTACACCCTTCCCTTGGATTAGGATGGAAGTACCTTATGTTCACTGTTCTTAGCATCCAGTGCTATGCCTGGCACAAATAGTGAGAATTTGAAATCGGGAGCTAGGCTATTGATGGGGAAAGTTTTCTGCACAGTTTGGAGGAGAACCAAAATAGTGGTGGGAGAAAGTTGCTGAGGATAGGAAGTCGGTCTTGAGAGGAGAGTTGCTTTGTAATGCAGTAAACTAAAAAAGATGCCTTGTTTTGTGTATTGCAGAATGGTTATACAAGTGTTCAGTTCAGAAACTGGTGGTAGTCATCTCAAATATTGAAAGTGGAGAGGTCCTTGAAAGATGGCAGTTTGATATTGAGTGTGACAAAACTGCAAAAGATGACAGGTAGGTAGCAGTTACTTCCATTTTCATATGTTTTAAAGTTTATTTTCTTTACTAAAGGAGTTCTAATTATATTGAACAAGTTGCATATAAAGTACAGTCTTTTTCTAGGATGTTAATGTGATCCTTGGTCTCCTGTGGCAAGGAATAATTCACTGTCTTATGTAGATAATGTACTTTTAACATACTTGCCTATAGTATAAATGGGTGAATTTCACCTTCAGTGTTTATGGTAGTATGTACCTGGTGGCCCTTTAGTGAATTGTTTAAAGGTAGTTTTAACCATAAGAGATTATCCTAGATTCCCCCAGCCTAAGATTCAGCTCTATTGTATTTCATTGAATGCCCCAAATCTTCTAAGACACTTCATAAAAAAGTTTCCAGACCACCTGTATAGGAGATGCCCATATGATCATGTCTAGCATTGTCCTAGGCTTGCTTACTGGTAAATTCAGAATCATTTCTCGTAATGAAATGTAGTTTGCTTCTGAAGCCTTTGGTCTATTTTATGAAATTTTTAGCTTATAAAAATAATTTGATAGTTAATTTAATATTTTATTTGAAGCAGTAGGGAATTAAGCATTATGAAAAAATGCCAAAGTGATTGCACCAACAAAATATTTTAGATACTATTATTATTAGATACTATTATTTTCATTTTTTAAGGGGCTTCCCTGGTGGCTTAAGGGTAAAGCGTCTGCCTGCAATGCAGGAGACCTGGGTTCGATCCCTGGGTCGGGAAGATCCCCTGGAGAAGGAAATGGCAACCCACTCCAGTACTCTTGCCTGGAAAATCCCATGGACAGAGGAGCCTCTTAGGCTACAGTCCATCAGGTCACAAAGAGTCGAACACGACTGAGTGATTACAAAAAATGCCAAAGTGATTGCACCAACAAAATATTTTAGATACTATTATTATTAGATACTATTATTTTCATTTTTTAAAAGGTGCTGTAGTTTGCCTAACTTGAAGCACTTGGCCAGTTTTCTGATTATCTGATACCAAATGACCTGATTTTAAGACCACCCCTAAAAAATGACTGAAATGATAAATGAAATAATAAAAATGCATATGCCTCTTGTGGTATATAGGCCCTGATGATACACTTAAAACTTAAAAAAAAAAAAAAAACTCCATTTTAATGTATTACTTATTTGATCTTGGAAACATTTAATCAGTCTTACCAGTGTTTTAAATAATTTGTTAACACGTAAATTGATTTGGTTTCTCCAATAGTGCACCCAGAGAAAAGTCTCAGAAGGCCATCCAAGATGAAATCCGTTCAGTGATCAGACAGATCACAGCTACAGTGACATTTCTGCCACTGTTGGAAGTTTCTTGTAAGTATTATACAGCTTCACATTGACTTAAAATTTGTCAGGGAAAAGACTAAGCTATTAGTTTAAGAATTAGCCCTTTATTAAAATTTTTCTTAATTATTAATATTACATAATAAAAATTAAAAATGTTTTATAAAGCAGAAGTAGTGTTATATGCATTCTAGAAATTTGGAAATTCTGAAAAGGAAAGGAATGAAAGTATTCCACAGTATTCATTCTTGAATGTCTTAATGTAATCCCTTTCATTATCTTAATTTTTTATGTATATTTTGAAGGCTAGCCATAACTTTCTTGCTTTTCTACCTTATCAGATATTTCCTGAATGCCTTCTATATGCAAGATACTGTTCTAGGCCCCAGGCTATATCAGTCACAGAACCCAGATGTTAGCTTTCCTTCAGGTTACCTTTATGCTATCCTATGTGATTAACTATATACTTCCTGCAAATAATGGTTTTCTCTTTTAAAAAAAAGCAAACTTGAAGTTTTCATAAGATAAAGCAAAAGGAGTGCAATATTTTCTGTACTACAGTAAATTTCTATTGAGGAAAAGCAATTGACTAGTCATTACAGACCAAGCTAAACTCTCTTTTCTAATACTGTGGGTGGTTCAAAATGTGAGAGAGACAAGGAAGGTTCTTCTACTTTTGAAAAAAATAATGTACTTTAATGATTTTATTTCCAATTTAGGTTCATTTGATCTCCTCATTTATACAGACAAAGATCTGGTTGTACCTGAAAAATGGGAAGAGTCAGGACCACAGTTCATTACCAATTCTGAGGAAGTTCGTCTTCGTTCATTTACTACTACAATTCACAAAGTAAATAGCATGGTAGCCTACAAAATTCCTGTCAATGACTGAGGATGAGATATGGACAATAATGTACTTGTAACTCTCAAATGTGGTTTTCCTTCCAGATCAACTATAGTTGGTATGTTTTATTTCATTGGTTAATTTTTAGATGAGGAAAACTTAACATGATGCTTTACTGAATCTGTGTAAAATTGTTCCAGTTTGGTACCTATCTGACTTTCCATAGGGTTGGCATAAGTTACTGCACAGATTACATCAGTACTGCAGTGTTACTTTCTTTCAAGGTAGTAACTGTAGGTGGAAAAACTTTTGCTAAATGCCTTTCTAAGTCAGGCTTTTGGTCAAGTAGCTTGACTCAGAATGTAGAGAAATATTTAAATATAAAATAGAACAAAAGAAATATGAATATTCAGAATCTTCATTTAGATCCTGAAAGTAACTAATGATAATCCATAAGTAGTGAAATATTGCTCTTTATTGGGTCCTTTTGCCATTTATTTCATTTTTATAGTTTCCATATTGAAAAAATGTCCAATTATTTGAGTTTAATTTATGTAACTTGAGTCTATAAAGCTGTGGATATCCCCACTCTTCAAATTGTTGTGATACAGAACTCTTAAGAATGTCTTTTCATGTTTTATAAAATCAAGCTCTAAATGACAATGATGAAATAAAGTTAAATGTGTATGCTTTAAATTTGTATTAAATTTTTTATATTGGTGTGTTTATACAGTTAAATAGTTATGGATTCAGTATGGCATATTATTTCTTGTGCCTACTATGTTGTAGGGAGGGCCTAAGGATACAAAGTTGGGTAAGTCTTGAGGTACTTTCAATTTATTGGACAAGCTTTAATTAAACCTCCTTCACCCTATAACAGTAGATTTAAAATAAACATTGTTCTTTATGTAAAATGATAAGTGTCATTTGGAATTAATTCAGTTTGGCAAATGTTAGATTGTATATAACCTTTCTATGCTCTTAGGTTTATTATCAGTAGTCTAATTTTCCGTATACAGTTGACCCTTGAACAACATGGGGGTTGGAACACTGACCCTCTAAGCAATTGAAAATCCCAGTAAAACTTAGAACCAGCACTCCATATCTGTGGTTACCCCAAACCCATGGATTCAACCAACCATGGATCATGTAGTACTATAGTACTTACTCTTCAAAAATAGCCAAATATAAGTGGACCTGAACAATTCAAACTGTTGTTCAAAGGTCAGCTGTATACTTAAACATCATGTTTATTCTTCTGCCTGTGCCTTCATTAATACTCTCATCAGGTATATTCTTTCAGTTCCCACCTATTTTTCCAGGGTCAGTTTAAGGCAAACTCATAAAAATTCCTTTCTAATGTCTATACTAAATCTTAGCCCATTTTGTAATAATTCAGTTTTTTAAGTATGTAGTAGCAGACACTGTTCTAAGATTTTCATATGTATTCATTCATTCAACCTTTACTATTAAGTAAATATACATAATCTGTATCCATTCATTCGAAAATCACATAATGAGCATCTGCTAACGTGTAGAGTAAGAACACTGCGTGCCAAGTACTAGGAGTGAAGCAGTCCTGGCCCTTCCAAAGCTCAAGATCTTAGGGAGGAGAGGAAAGTATGACAGAGGACCATAAGGTAGCTGAGCAGGGTCACTTCATTATGTGTTTGTCTGTGTCATTTCACTTGGGATGATCTTTCTCTGATCCAGCTGGGTGCTTGTTGAGAATAAAGACCTATGTCTGACATTCTTTCATCTCTTGGTGCTGCTGGACAAACAGGTGCCAGTCTTTGATGATGGGTATTATGTTTGCTGCTGCAAAAGCCATTCCCAGAGAGGAGCTAAAGTATCTAACTTAGGTCCACCCATCTCTTTTTTTCCTGAATAAGAAAAGCAGTTATGTAGAAGTGGAAATTGTGTTGATTTTGGGATGGTCAAAACTCAATATTCAAAAAACTAAGATCATGGCATTTGGTCCCATCACTTCTTGGCAAATAGGGAAAAGGTGGAAGCGGTGACAGATTTTATTGGGCTCCAAAATTGCTGTGGATGGTGACTTCAACCATGAAATTAAATGACACTTGCTCCTTGGAAGAAAAGATATGACAAACTCAGCATATTAAAAAGCAGAGACATTACTTTGTCAACAAAGGTCTGTCTAGTCAAAGCTATGGTTTTTCCAGTGGTCATATACAGATGTGAGAGCTGGACCATAAAGAAGGCTCAGCACTGAAGAATTGATGTTTTTGAACTGTGATGCTGGAGAAGACTTGAGAGTCCCTTGGACTGGAAGCAGGTCAAGCCAGTCAATCCTAAACGAAATCAACCCTGAATACTTATTGGAAGGATTGATGCTTGAGCTGAAGCTCCAGTACTTTGGCCACCTGATGCAAAGAGCTGACTCATTGGAAAAGACCCAGATGCTGGGAAATACAAAAGGCAAAAAGAGAAGAGGGCAGCAGAGGAGGAGATGGTTAGTGTCACTGAATCAATGGACGTGAATAGGAGCAAACTCCAGGACATAGTGGAGGACAGGACCCTGGGGTTCGGCAAAGAGTCAGACAACTTAGCAACTGAACAACAGAATCTGTTTCCAAACAGCATGAGGTGTATTATAGTGGTCACTATTAAGACATTTGAATGCTTGGGCTGTTGACATTTGACATATTCATTGAGAAGCAAAGCAAAAGTAGAACTTGAGCAAAAATATGAAGAAAGTTGAAAATTATGGTCCTGTTTTTAGGAAATATCATGATGTTTTTGAAAATCATCATAGAAAGCAATGACTTCTGGAAACACTGCCCCTTTGCTAATAGGAAAAATAAATGTGGTTCTTTCCTCCTAAAAGCACACCAGTAGCAACATTATGGATAACCAATAACACTTAAATGTCTGTCATTTATGTATTTAATATTGGTGATCTTAATACTGGTTTATTATTCATACTCTCTTCAAGAGTTATGTCCAGAAATTCATGCTCTGGATTTGAATGTTAGTCTCAATAGAAGCTTCTGCCATACAGTCTATTCCCTAGAAGTTACCTATAGTACCAATTCTGCATTAGCTAGGCTCTTCAAAAAAAAAAAACAGCAAAAACTGGCTTTGAAAAAAATTAATGAAAGAACATTAACTACATAAAGAATCAAAGGGAAGGCTGAAAACTAGAGAACTAGGGCCGCCTCAAGGACTCTCAAGTCACAAATCTGTGAACTCTAGAAAATGGGCCACTGGTGTTATCCAGTGATATCTCCAAAGGATTCAAACTGATTGTTTCAAAAAAAGTAATATGGATAGTTAAAAAAAAAAAAATGACAATGAAGAGCCTTAGCATTTTAATAAGCTGAGATGTAAGACTAAGAATTCTGGGAAATTGCATTTTTAAATATTTTGATCACTTTGACACAGCCAGCGTTGTTAAGATGGTTAAATTAGATTGCATATTACTATTGTGAGTTTTCTGAGGAGCTAGTCATGATCATTTTTTACCACTTACAGATTATATATCAATTCAGAAATACACTTATTGGAGTTGAGTAGGAAGAAGCCAAGCTGTGAGCTTTATTGATAAAGCTTGACTGGAAAACTTTGGCCTCGATTCCCATTGAACTTGTCCCACCCTCTTACTATAACTTGAGGCTCACCTTGGTAGGGAAATATTTAACCTAACAGAGGAAAGAATTTTGACTGCCACACCACGTTAAACATAAGTTGATTCCGAGAGAGTCTGGTAAGCCTCTAGACGCGGCCTGCACTCTGACCCGGTTTTGCTTACTATAGGTAGAGGAATGAAACATGCTCCAGCTGAGCCCCTCAAAGTCCGGAACAGCCCCAGAAGGGACTGAACCCCACCTAGTCTTCAGGGTCCTTCTCCCAGTGTCGTCAGTGGGACAGAAAGGTCAGTCCTCTGGTACTTTTACGCAGAGGTATAACAATCTCATGTATTGGCTGAAATGGCAGCCCACTCCAGGGTTCTTGCCTGGAGAATCCCATGGACAGAGGGGCCTGGTGGGCTGCAGTCTGTGGGGTTGCAAAGAGTCAGACAGGACTAAGCAACTAACACGCAAACAAGCACAACAGTGACAACAAACATTTGTTTCTCCTTCAAGTCTGCCAGTCAGCAGATTGCCTCATTCTCGCGTAAGTCTACGGATCACACGTCTCACTTTACCACTGAAGGGGCACAGAACTCTGAGGCTTCGCTTCAAACTTGTACACTGATGCTTTTCCACATTCCACTGACCAAGGCAAGTCTTAACGGTTAAGCCAGACTTCAGCGGGAAAGGGAAATACACTCCTCCCAAGCAGATGGTGGGGAGAGGTGTGAAAATCGAATGAAAGGATCTAACAGACCAGGGATTGGCAAACTTTTTCTGTAAAGGGTCAGTTTAGGCTCTGCAGCCAGTATGGTCTCTTGCACCTACTCAAGTGAGCCAGTCGTTATGAAAGCTCCTCAGACAGTAAGTAAACGAATGAACGTGGCTGTGTTCCAGTAACAAAAAGCTGATGTGCTGTATTTGGTCCATGGGTTATAGTTTGCTGACCCTGTAATAGGGACATTCGCTCTTTTGTTCACAAATATTCAAACCTGTCACTGGCTCAAAGCAACTGATTCTCTGATACTTAAGGCTTACATTTAAAACATCATTATTTGTTGAATCCATCCACAGTACCTCAAATAGGATGGCCCTCTATTTCACCTCAATCCTATATTGAAACATAACTGGCTATTTCTTTGAGGTACTCCTCAGGACACCCTACAATGAATTTTTATCTGAAAACGGGAAGGGAGCCCCTTTGGCACATGATACCTATGAATAGATTGAGAACATCGAAAACGCTACATGCTTCTATTTTCGATCACTGTATAAACATGGATGCTTAATATATTTTTATTACTAGTATGCATTCAAGTTTCTTAGGTTCCTAACCTCCTATATGTTTTATAATTATGGACTGAAAAATTACTAGCATAATAAAGCAGGTACACACACATTTAATTTTTTCTTTACCTTCTGTTTCATTTCATTGTAAGATTTATCTTAATT